AATATTTCAAAATCAAACCTTTTAATCAAAAATTTAAATTCCAAGACTTGAGGGCAAGTTTGAAGCTTTTCAAAACACGAAGGATCAAATAGAAAATAATTTAAATTAAACAGTTAATTTAATGATTATCTAAATTTGACCTAAAATCAATTTCTTGCAAGATAAGTTACCCAATTAATACAAATAATCAAACTTTAATCATATTAGGAAGTTATTATTTAATCAATTGGTAATTATCTTTTGTTTAATCAAGGATATAATCAAAAATATGTTTAAAATTGGATTTTAATGACCCAAAATAGTTAAGGCAAGTATCCATGAGTAAAACAGCAAGAAATCCCGAAAATGCCTCCTTCTGATGCTCAAACTCGCCGAGTTCCTCTATGGACTCGCCGACTAGGAGCAACTCGCCGAGTCCACATTGGAACTTGCCGAGTTCATCAGACAGGGGACCAAAAAATTGATTTTTGAAGCTTGAACAAATAACCAAGGCATCAATACAATAGAAACCAATCTAGGCTCTGATACCTCTTATGGTTTTTAGCCATAAGAACATCTTGTGTGCTCATACAAACCCTAATGCTTGAATCTAGGTTTCTCTATTGTACATGCAATTCATCCAAGACTTTAAACCCTAGATCTAGCATATGATAATCAATATTAACATAACAATGGGTTTAGGATATTACCTTGATTGTTATGTAGCAATAACAATCTTAAATCCTCCTTGTAATGACTTTAGAAAGCTTAGAGTCACAAATGTCACTCCTCTAATGGTTCACAAACACCAACAGCAAGAGGATGAAGAATGAGAAGAGAAGAGACACCCAAAACCGTGTAGAAACCCTAAGGATTCAGTTTCCCACGTTTTTGGTGCCCAAGGGGTCCTTAAATAGTGAGGCTATTAGGCTTATCTAACAAGGAAACCCTAATTTGGATGCTTAGGCCCTAAGCAACCCATGGACTCCTTCCTTAAAGGCCTAGGACGATTTCTAATGGGTTTCCCCATAGAATTCCTCCACCCCTCTAATATGGAGTCCATTAGCCCAATATTCAACTATCACACAATTGATAGTTCTAGTCCCTTTAGTTTAATTAATGTCTTTTAGTCACAAACTTAATTCTTATTAATTAAACAATATGATTTCTGCTTTAATATATTATTCTCATAATATTAATAAATCATAATTAATCATTTCTCTCCATAATTCATCCTATCAAGTTGTTTTGGTGAAGACAACCCAAAAGGACCATGCACCATCGAGTCAAATACATACCTAGTTATGGACTTAGACACTAATCCAACAATTTTATGCTGTAATAATCATATGTGATTAACGATAGGTATTTATATTTTAGTATAAAATCATAGAAGATTTTAGATATTAATATATTATTAGATGTTAAATCATATGTGTTTGTACATTGTATTATATGATTGATCATATACTATATTGTGTAATCATAAATGATTATATGTATTAATTTATAAAGTATCATACTTGATATTATTTAATTATGTATGATTAATCATATGTCTTTGTAGTTTTTAATATATGATTATACATATTAATTTATAAATAATCATCTTTTATGATGTATAATCATATATAATTATTCATCCAAATATAATATTAATATAGATTTCAATTTGAAAACATATATGATAAATGATAATTACAAACTATAAATACATATGATTAATCATAGATATGAACATTCATATATGATTTTTCATCCTATGTGATTGATTAATCACATATTGTATTGTATAATTATATATGATTAGTCGTAATTATATTGTATAATAAAAGAATTAGAATTAAGTGTAGAAATTTAATGTAATATGTAGCATTAAAACGAATTAGTTGTATCTTCAATACGAATCGTATTTTGAAGTTCTTTATAAGTGAAAGAAATTGAATCGATTTGTTCGTCGTTACGAGATGAATTGATTTAAGCTATAATAGTATCAGTTGCGATTAACTTGTCAATTTCTTTTGGATTCGACATCATATATGAAAATTGATTTTGTTTCAATTTTCAAATGTTCTGTTTATGATTGCGAGATGCTTGTTTCTTCGATTTAAGGATTATGTATCGTATTTATGAGGATATGAACTGATGCTCTGTTTCGATCGTTTTTTTCGATTTGAAGACTACGATTAATTTGATAACAGATTCAGTAAAAATAGGATCTTTTTTATTATAGTTAATGATTGTTGAATATTGGATGATATGATTATGTGAGTTATATTGAGAATCGATGATTTAATGATATGATGATTTTTATAGAAGGAATGTGTCCGCTTTCTTAACATTAATTTGAAGTTTATTGTTATACCCTTGAATCATTTAACAATTGACATTAAGTTCCAGTGGCTGATATTTAATCTCACAATCTCTAATTTTTTATTAATATCAAGGAAACCATTATATATATATATATATATATATATATATATATATATATATATATATATATATATATATATATATATATATATATAGAGAGAGAGAGAGAGAGAGATGTGAGTTCAATTGAGAAAATAAAAAAGGTTGAGAATGGGGGGAATCATTCTCAGACACTCATTTTATTCAAGCATAAAAAAACACGGTGGCAAACTTGTAAATATGATAACAACCTTCAATCTTAAATACGTATCTGTAGTTCAAACCCATTCATCGTTCATCATCCAAATTTCTTCTCCAACTTTCAACAATCATCCAGATTTCTTCAATTAAACCATAATCAACATCATCCAGTGCTAATCAATCATCGATCTTCGTCAATAATCAACACGATTCAACAGTTAACAACAAAAATTCGTTTTTGGTTCTTTTAAATCAACCTTCAATTGTGTTTGAATACGGTCAGATCTTCAACATCTATGATTAATTATACTCCCAGCTTTATTAGATCAACATCATCGATAATCAACAAAAATCCACTTCATAACATTCATTCAACATAGATTATCAAATAAAACTTGAAAATTGAGGTTAGAAAAATATCAAATCGTTTTTTTTCTTTTTTTTTTTTTTGAAAAATTTCATATAATTCTCTATCAATCTACTCTTTTGTAGATTTAAATAGTCAAAATATCATGTTTCTAACATTTTAAAAAAAAAAGTTAAATTGTATGCACTCCAACTGTTTGATGAAATGCATGAACTAAATTAGCACGTTATATTCATATATGAATATGTTTTCTCGGTATATGATTATTAAAACAAAAAACCAAATATGTAAGTCTGTATGTTATTCATATGTGAATAACATATAAAAATTATATATATATTTGTGAATATACCTTGTAATATTCATATGTGAATATGTTGTGTAATATTAATAAGTGAAAATATATCATCTAATATTCACAAACGAATATACTATGTAATATTCACATATGATATACCATGTAATACTATGTAATATTCAGATATGAAAATATTATCTAATATTCATAAGTGAATATACCATCTAATATTCACAAGAGAATATATACTATGTAATATTCATAAGTGAATGTATCGTCTAATATTTAAATATGAATATACTATGTTTATTATATGCTATATTCATATATGAATGATACTTAAACTGTAAAAAAAAATAATCATAATTTTTATTTATAACTGAATAACGAATGTACTATAGTAAAAATCTGATTCATTTTTATTCACTTATGAATAACAATATCTGAAAATATAAAAAAAAAAACAATTTTTTTATTTTATCTTAAAATTATATAAATATGGATGTCTATTTATAGAGAATAAAAAATCATGAATTTTGGTATATTTAAAAACCATTTTTCGATAAAAATGGATTCTTAAAAATTAAAAAAAATCGAAAAAACTATGATTTATATAGATTAAGTAATGATTAGCATAGTTTAATAAACATTTTTTGTTCGAAAACATATGTCTATTCGTTTCCCATTTCTGCTGGTACAACGGAGGTTTTTGCGGCAAAAATAAATGAGTAGCTGAGAATGATTCCCCCATTCTCAACTTTTTTTTTTTTTTTTCTGAATTGAACTCTCATATATATATATATATATATATATATATATATATATATATATATATAATATATATATATATATATATATATATATATATATATATATATATATATATATATATATATATTGTTAAATAAAAAAAATAAAATAAAAAAAAATAAATAAATAAAATAAAAAAAAACTCTAATTAAAAGTTCCTCTTAGGTTTAAACATTAAATACAACAAATGCTCATTGGCTAAGTAGCTGCAGCTTATCGATCATTTTCGGCGATTAATTTCGGGTCCCTCTTTTGTAATTTAAGGTGCCGACCTCGCTAAATTTTTTTTGTAAATAAACATGTACAAAAACGTTTTCTCAAGTTAATTATTCCAAAATAAAATAAAAATATGCAACAGAATAACCCAAATGAATACAAATAACTTTCGATTTTTTAAAGCATATCGTTTTGTGATGAGAAATCCCGTTAGTTCCTCACTAATAAATAAAAATATTTTTACCACATGTTATATTATTATTTATTTTGTTACATGTAATTTTATGATTATTTTAAATTAATATTTATTCTAAATATCATTTTATGATTTTTTTTATTTTATTAAATTATAGATAGTATTTAAATACAATAATAAATATATATCAATTTTAATAATGAAGTTTCTTTTAATTTTAAACTCTTAAATTAAAAATTCATTAATTTTCTTTATTTATTTATCTAAATTATTTGTTTAAAATTAAAAGAGAAATAAACATATTAATTTTTATAATTTAATATTTTCAATTTTGTTATAAATTTATATTTGTGTATAGAATTTTATGTTTAATTTTTTTTTTTAAATAAAACCAAATAATACATATTTTCGTAATAATATATAATAGATCCAGATTCATACATAACCTACTGTCCTACAATGACAAGGAGATATGAATAACAGTTTCAGTCTGGTCCCTGACAACATTACCAGCTTCAATGGCGTTACCCTTCCATGTGAAAATCATTGAACAATGCGATGTATCTCCACCACCAGATTCCGTCATACCTCCGATTTCACTTCCTCTAACATTCTTAGACATTCCATGGCTTCTTTACCCTCCATATCAAACCCTTTTTTTCTTTCCAAAACCTCCGCTAAAATCCACGACCACCACCGTCATATCCCTTCTCAAAAAATCCCTCTCCACCACCCTCCACCACTTCCACCCTCTCGCCGGAAACCTCTCTGCTCCACCACCACCCGCCGAGCCACACTTAATTTACACCAAAGGTGACTCCGTCTCACTCACCATTGCGGACTCAAACGCCAACATCAACAATATCTCCGGCAACCACCCCCGAAACGTCGTCAATCTTTACTCTCTTCTACCAAAGCTCCCAATTCCATCCATGCCACGTGACTCCCACCTGACCCTCGTCCTCCCTCTTCTCGCCATCCAGGTTACATTTTTTCACGATTTAGGGTATTCCATCGGAGTCACGACGCAACAAGTAGCAGCTGACGAAAGAACCCTAGATCAGTTTATCAAGTGTTGGGCTTCAGTTTGCAAATCATTGTTGAATAAAGATTCTTTGGCTGGGTTCAAGTCTACACCTTTGTTCGATCGGAGTGTAATTTCCGACCCCAATTCACTTAAAATCACGTTCTTGAAACAATGGTGGAGCCGATTGAATTCATCTAAAGTTTCCGGTGAAGAAGTCGATCAAAACATCGTTCAAGCAACTTTCATCTTGACATCCTCCGACATTAGCATGATCAAATACCACATACTCGAAAAATGCAAGATGATAAATGAAGACCCACCATTACATCTATCACCCTACGTGAGTGTATGTTCTTTTATATGGATTTGTTTACTTAAAGTCGAAGAAGCCCATGATTCCAGAGGTACATCTTCTAGTTCTCCTCTTTATCTAGGGTTTAACGCAGGTGGGATTAGTCGTTTAAGGGATGAAATACCATCAACTTACTTTGGAAATTGCATAGCTTTTGGGAGATGTAGGGCGTTTAGGAGTGAATTGTTGGGTGAAGATGGGGTTGTTTTTGCAGCAAAATCAATCGGAAAAGAGATTAAGATACTTGATAAGGACGTTTTAGGAGGGGCTGAAAGGTGGATATGTGAATGGGATGAATTGAATGTTAGGGTTCTTGGTTCACCAAAAGTGGATTCATATGGGATGGATTTCGGGTGGGGGAAAGTCGATAAAGTTGAGAAGTTATCAAGTCATCAAAATTGTAGGGCAAATCATGTAATATCTTTAACGGGAAGTAGGGATTTGAAAGGTGGAATTGAGATAGGGGTGGCTCTTACTAAGGCTAAAATGGCTGCATTCACAGCCCTCTTTAATGGTGGTCTAATGAAACTCGTATGATGAAGAAGATGATGATGATGTGGTCCAACATTCCAATCCAATAAAAATGGCGATAAAATTCTGCAAATGCATAGGGAGTTTGACCACGTGTTTCGTTGCACAAGTATAAATTTGGAAATGAATAACATTATTTTATATTATTATTGAGATTCACACGTTCCATTACATAAAGTACTTTTTGTCATGTGGTAACAAATGAACTAATGCATACACAAGTTCACTAACGTACAAGAAACCATGAAAACGGTACCAGTGGTGATGACTTTTTCTTTTCAAGGCAGATAACTAATTTTAAAATTAATTAGAAAAACATAGACCACACCGCGTCAAATTCAACGGTATCCGCCGATGTTACTTTCCATTTTTAAAGTTGAGGGTTCAAGTTTTGTTATGAAAATAAGTGAATTTAAGGAGTAGTATAGGAGCAGATTATATTTGTCGTTTCAAATAATAATAATAATAATAATAATAAATATAAAAATAAAAAAAATTAGAAAACGAAGAAACAATCTAAAAGCAATCCGATCAAGATTAATGGAAGAAGAAATTAGGAAAAACAAAGTTAGCCGCTCTTGTATTTTGGATGGATCGAACTTGTTTTAAATTCAAAATCAAGATCCATCGTTTTAATTTACATGATCAAATAAACTGTGTTGTTTTTAGTTTGTCGTGTATAAATTCATTACATATTTAAGATTAATACAGTTCAATCCATTTCTTTTTAAATTTTTTCTAATAAAAAATGCATGCATCTGTAAAGTGCATACTTTTAAAAAATGAAATTATTATAAAACGAATAAGAATTCAATCGGAGATTTGATTATAAAAGATTAATAGATGTATTTTCACTCTATCATAACTCAATTTAAAAAAAAAAAATGAATAATATGAATAAACAAAAAAATGAAATCAGTGTTTCCATTACATTAAATGATCCCGTTTGGATGATTTTGTATTATTTCTATGAAATATAATTAAAATAGATGACAAACGACAATAAATCATTATCAATTATAATGTCAATTTTATTACATCAATAAAAATATTTCAATTTTATGTTTCATAGTTATTGTTTTTTAGAATACTTATAATGTTGATTATTAGGAACTGATTACTGTTGGGGATTGTTATATGATGGACTCATAAAAATTTACGTTAAGATGGAGGAATAGATGGAGTATAGACGATTTTACCCTTGGTAATGATTTGGTCAATAATAATCATAAAGTAGGTCCTGGTCTGCTGATATTGGTTATACATTGATAAGCATTATTAAGGAATGTTGCTACATGGTTATATATATAAAACGTTCTTGCTGGAGATTTATAATGACATTGGGCTATTTTACTCCTAATTATCTTTTCTTTTTCTTGTTGTTTTGAAGGTGGATGATGTGTAACACCCCGTTTCCAAGTCAAACCCTAAAAGTTGAAGATGTGTTTTAAGTATTATTTTATTCCGATATATGAATATAATTAAATAAAGAGCTTGGTGAAAAATTATGTAATTGACATTATAATTTGTTTAGAAGGACAAAAGAGTGCTTTCGGGGTTCGTAGTGGAAAGAATACTTGAACATATGGCTAAGGATAATCAGGCGGGCTCGTTTTGTAGTCCGTGGGCTTATAGTGAAAATATTGTGTAGAGGAGGGGCTATTTGGGCAAATTGGGATTTAATTTGAAAGGAAAAGAGAAGGAAGGGCTGCTTGGTAAAAGATTGGGCCTGATTTGAAGAGGATTTTAATGTTAGGGGCTGAAAGAGTAAATTCTGGACCTACTTTGAAAGAAAATGGGAGGGGAGGGGCCAAAGGTAGCATTATGGGATAAATTGTATGGGGCTTGGGATATAAAACCCTTCACCCGGTAAATCCTAACCCTAATGAAGCACTCTACAGTCGTCACCTCCATCACCTTATACCTCCCTCACCAGCGCCGCCCTTCACCATCGGTGCTGCCACATTCGTTGGAGTCGGAAATATCGTCGTCCCACCGTGAGCTACTGTCGCTGTCAAAAGCGTTGCTACTATTCCATTGCCTAACACCGAGAACAACCGAGAGAGGACCGCCATACGCGATGTCTTCCGCTACTGCCACCCAACTCCCTCCCGTTCTCCGATCTTTGCACCTACTGTCAGCAGTGATGAGAAACGGCAGATAAGACCGCCGTGGTCTCTAGGGCTGCTGCCTGCCTTCTCGTGTTCATCACCGTCTATACGGTTCGTACTAGCCACTCCTGCCGTCGTAAAGCGGCTGTCATCGCTGCCTTTCCGTTCCTGTGGCCTCTAGATTGCCAATGGGGTGCATTTTTGTGTTCAAATCAGGTTGTGTGTGTATTATGTGTTGCTGCTATAAGACGAGAGGTGTATGTGAGTGGGTTTAATTGGCCGGAAAAGCCACCACCACCACCGTGAGGTGGTGGCTGCCACCATCTACCACCACCGGCCACCACAAGGGTTGTTGTGTGTGTGTGTTAGCATTAGTGTGTGTGTTTATTTAGTAGATTTGCATTGTAAAAAAATTGTAAGCGATAAAGGAATAATGAAAGAAACTCATAACCACCACCGTGAGGTGGTGGCTGCTGCCACCGGCTGCCGTGTCGAGTGGCGGTGTGCCTCGCACTACAAGAATCTTGTGCTATGCAGACGACTCCTATCCAGACGACACATGTCGTCGCCAAAAGTCGACCTATACAGACGACATGTTGTCCGTAAAGGGTTTTCAAACATTGACTCCCTACCTTTGACCAGAAGAGCTATAGAGACGACAAGTCGTCTGTATAAACTCGGCGGGAAACGTGAAATTGTTGGCGGTATATCGAAAATATTTACAAACGAAACGTCGTCTGGAAAAGTGTCTAAAATAATCATTTCGATTTATTTTAATTCCATGTAGCAAGAAGCCAAAACGCCACTGTTTTTGTCATCCTATGCAGACGACATGTCGTCGGTATAGGGTGATTTAAAATTAATTTCGATTTATTTTAATTCCTTGTAGCAGGAAGTCAAAATGTCACCGTTTTTGTCATCCTATACCGACGACATATCATCAGTATAGGGTGATTTAAAATTAAATTAGATTTATTTATTGTACTTGTTAGAGAAATTGAAAAACGATGTCGTTTCTTGTGCTATAGAGACGACATGTCGTCTGGAAAGGTGGGACCGATCCGCGTGAAATTTTTATTTATTTATTTTTATTTATTAATCACGTTAAGAGAAACAACGATGTATTGGGGTACCTATACAGACGACATGTCTTCTGTATAGTGTTTCCCTGTAACAAAACCCCATTTCAGCTTTCTGTTTGCAGTCGAGACCAAATCCTATTTTCTCTCAAGGTCGTCGGCGATAGCAGTGTTTCCAGCTCGAGTTCATCGGCCACCATAGAGGTAAGTGTTTTGGTCCTTCATTGCTTCTTAATTTGTAATAACTTGTGCTTGATTTGTAATAATTTGAAGCCCTAAATCTAAGCCCGATTTATCTAGTGGCCAACAAAAGGTTCAAGTGCTCCATAGAAAAGGATTTCCAGTGATTAACGAAACTCTAACACCGATTTTGAGGTTAGTATATTGATTTCTTTTCCTGTTAACTACCATAGTGACGATTTTTTTTTTCAATAAACCATGATATGTATATGCATTTGTTTATGCACCATAATGCTCCATAAATCTTAAATCTCTAAATGTTAAATATGTGAAAACAGGGTATAAAGCCACATTTTGCTTTTTTGCTTTCTAAGTGCATACAATGTTATATATTGGCCACATTTTGCTTTCTATGTGCATACAATATTATATATTTTACTTATCTACAAGTAAAAGTGATGATAGAAGGCTATAAGATCTTTACAATTTGAGTTTATGTGCAACCATATAGAACTAGCAAACAAACCTCATGTATATATTATGTTAAGTTAGAAACATTACCTTAAAAAGTATTATCTTGAGTTATTTGATGTAATTAGATGCTATTGTTTGTATTGTAAAGTGTTTAATATGGTTTCAAAGTGTTCAATTTTGTTAGTGACTTAATGTTGGTCATTATGGCTTTAGCTTAATTAGGTTATTAATAGCAACATACTTTTAGTAATTTTAAAATAATTATGAAGTAAAGGTGAATTAATTAAAATCAAATTAAATTAGTTTTAAAATCAAATTAATATTAATATTAATATTAAATTAAATTAAATATAAAATCAAATTAATATGATTTTCTTATTAAAACACGTTGAATCGTTGATTTTTAGTTTAAGTTTCTTCTTCATAACCATTGTGAATACTCTATCCAATTAATCTAATTTTTACTTTTCGAGTATATATTTTTTTATATACTTGTGAATACTATATTCGTTCTCGGGTATATATTTATTTATCTAGCACAAATACAATCTAACTTTCGATAACTACATATATAACATAATTTTTAAAAGTGAAACAGCGATGACGATCGATAAGAGTTGGATTAGAGAGAACCGAATGTCTTCAAAATACTTGGAAGGTCTTAAAAACTTTATGAAGATTGCTGAGAAACATGTCAAATCTAAAGGAAAAGTGTGTTACTCGTGTAAAACATGTGTGAATTTGTATCGACATGTATTGCCTACGGTTTATGCCCACTTACATGACATTGGGTTTCTAGAAATATATACTACGTGGATTTATCACGGTGAGAAACATGTCGGTTCTTCGAATTTAAGCTACAATTCGACTCCAAGAACAAACACACCCACAAGTAATGAGATGTTTGATGTAGTTGATGATGTTATGGCGGAACAAAATACAAATGAAGAAAATATAGACGAGGAGGGATGAGGTATAGACTCGGAATTTGATGATTTGTTTGAGGAGCTCAATACCAAGTTATACCCTGAATGTAGCAATATGTCTGCCTTAAACTTTTTGGCAAAGTTGTTGCATATTAAAGTATAGATGGACAAATAGTTCGTTTGATCAACTTGTAGAGTTACTAAGAGCTGCTTTCCCGAAGAACAAGATTCCAGCT